TGGATTCTATCATGGAGTGTTCCCTTGCGGAATCTCACCATGTAGGCGTTGAGAGCATGTCTGGTGAAAGGTTGCTTGTTCTTTATGATGCGGACGATATCGTCTTGCTTTCAGACGATGTTGCGCGGCACAATCAACCCTGAATAGCCTGTCTAGAGTGGTCCCATTGTTTGGTGTGCGTTTCGCACCTTGATAACGAGGAACTCGAGCTCGTTGATCGATTCACTTACCCTGGCAGCTGCATCAGCAACGATGGGCGCATAGAAACTGACCTCAGCTCACGCATTGCAAAGGCCAGAACTGCCTTCTTGAACCTGCGGCATCTGGCGACAGAAAGGTGTTTCTCCATCTGAAAGACCGTGTATACAAGGCCATACTGAGGGCCGTCCTGCTCTATGGTAGTGAGACTTGGCCCCTCGGTCTGAAGATCTGAGGCGCCTTCAAGTCTTTGATCATCGTTGTCTGCGAAGCATTGCTGGTCTCGGATGGCACCAGCGTGTTCGCAACGACGATGCACGTTGGCGGGTACTAGGTAGTGATAATCATGCTAGCTCCCTAGAAGAACAGATAGCACTGAATCAATTGCGTTGGCTTGGGCACGTGCTCGGTATGTCTGGTCACCGCCTACCTAGGAGGGCTTTGTTTAGTCTGTCAGGTGCAAAGCTCCAGGTGGAAAGAAGTTGACTTGGCAGCGTGAAATAAAGTCACTGACGACCAAGCTAGGTTCGGTTGATCCGTCTTGCCTTCTGGGCTGCAGTCCACGTGACCCACCTTGTGCTTGGCTCGAGACTTTACGGGACAGGGCTCGCAACCGACACCAGTGGCGCGTCTGCTACCGTCTCGTAGTCGGACTGCCTGTTTAAAGTGTGTTTGGCGCTGTGTTATCTGCGGGGTAATGGCTGATTATGACGCGTGGAAGTGAAAGCCGCAAGGAAGGTGTCTCGCCGATACCGCCTTATCTTTGCACGATAGCCAGCTTTTTGTGACGGTGTGTGGATTACACAAGGTGTAGACGCCTTGACCCTGAACTTTTGTTTAGGGCATTGCGATTTTCAGGTAAGTCCCACTTCTCTCCGTCTTATTATTCTTTATTCCATAGGTCATCATGGTTGCATGGCAGCGAAGCATCAGTTCAAATGACTGATGTACTGCTGTTGATGATGGTAACACTACTCATAAGCTTGCTCTGCATGATCTTCAGAGCAGCTCTTCAGTTAGTCCGAACTCGCATACTTTACAAGTTCGTCTGCAGTTGCGGTGAATTTTACACAGGCAGAACTAACAGTCGATTGGTTAAGAGGGTGTCTGAGCACTTACCAAGGTGTGAGGAACAAACGTTAAGGCAACAAAACAGTGAGGTTCCTAGAATGAGTCACATCCTGTCCTCATCTATCGCCAAACCCATCATGATAACTCGTCATCATGTGAGCTCGAAGACAGCGTTCAAGGTGCTATTATTGAACAAAAACTCGATCGTGTTGACAGTCATGGAATCATTGTCCATTAGGGCACGTCAACCCGTGCCGTGCACACAGTAACTACCGACGCGATCAATTAGGTTGTCTTGGTCTTGCTTGGGACATGTTGCTCGGTGTTGCCAATTGCTCCATATATAATGCTGTGTATCTGTTCCGCTTGTATTGTGTTTGCGACTAATGGGGAACAATCAAAATGTCGATATATTGCACCTTATTTCTTCTTTCTGCGTTGATGAAATGGTGGAAGGGGACTCCATGTTTCACAGATTTCGGTCTCGTCAATCAGTGCTCATGCTTCCGCCCCTATCCCTCTCCTGATGACCATAACTTGTTCCAGTTGGATTCTGTATGTTGTGACCATTGAATTCGTTGTAACTGCTGAGCCCATCAGTACGGCTCCGGCCCATAGCTTACTTAGTATTCCTTGGCCCATAGGTCTCCGAGTATGCAGCCCATAGACTGAAGGGACTGAACGATACCCAACGTGAAAAACCGAAGGCTGTACCACCGTGGTCAATAGGAAATCTTTAGGGAATGTTTATGCGTGAAGTTAGCTATACCACTTGCCGTGGGAGAGTCCTTCAAAGAATCGGCGCTGAACCTAGCGGCTGGGTAGATTTGAAACCATATTATCTTTTCTTTGTTCGTTATCTTCAGAATCGTCTCTTATGTTCTTCCCTTAGAACGATTTCGTACCGTCATTTCCGTGACCTGCGGACGCGTTTTGACGGACGCCCATGATGATGTTATGAGCGCACTGACACCAGCCAACTGGCGAAACCAGCTGTTCTGAATGCCTATCAAAGTACGCTGTCATGCGAGTTGAATAAGTGCTCACTGGTTGTAACTGAAGATCACTGGTCTCATATTCATCAGACCTTACTAGCAGCAGGAAAATCTTCATGTGATATGTCTAATCACCAACATGGACATTGGGTCTCTTCGCAATCTCTGGAACTTATCGATGCTCGCCGACATATTCCGGCTGGAAGCGAACACAATGAAACTCGCAAAGAGCTCCGGGCAAAACTCCGTGCTAGCCTGAAGAGAGACCGCGAATCCTGATGGTCTCATCATGCATCAGAGATGGAAATGGCCGCTGCCATTGGTAACCATCGTAAGTTATTCCGGCTGATACGGGAAACGGGCAGCAGAAGACCTGGTGTTAGTGAAACCATACGTGACGAGAGTGAACAGCCTATCCACAACTTGTCAAAACGCTTGGCGCGTTGGGCTGATCACTTTGGAAAGTAATTTAATCGGTCGGAATTGTTAGATTTCTCACCGGCCACTGACCGTCTGGCACCGTGGGCTGTCCCTTTGGATCCATCCTCTCGCTCAGAAGTCGAACTTGAGATCGCACTGTTGTAGTTAAATAAAGCCGCGTGATTGGATGATCGACCCACCAGCCCTCTTCAAATTCGGGGGACCTGCTCTTGCGAATAATTTATACGAGTTACTAGTGAAACTGTGGGAGCAGGAAACTATCCCAACCGACTGGAGCCACGCGGTCATAGTCCGAAATTTACTAGGGAAGCTCACGATCCAAATGCGGTAACCATAAAAGAATCGTCCTGATCTCCATGGCCTCCAAATTGCTTACCGCTGTCATCCTTCCCAGAGTGACTGGCACTTGTGAAAGCCATATTCGTGAGGAGCAAGCGGGTTTTCGTCGAGGTCGCTGATGCATTGACCACATCTTCACTTTGCGTCAGTTGTTCGAGCACCGTCACATATTTTGCGGCCCACCGGTTGTCGTGTTCCTCGATATCAAAGGTGCATTCGTTTCGGTGGCTAGACGTACACTTTGGGACTGTCTACTCAGGATTTGTGTACCTGAGAATTATGTAAATATTATCCGAGCCTTATACGCGCTTTTCTCGGACAGAGTGGGGGCTTACGGCAAGCTGTCGTCGGCCGTTCAATATGTCCAGCGGTGTGAGACCAGTATGCCCACTGTCATCTTTCCTCTTCAACTTCGCTATCGACGATTCCATGAAAATCGCGTTCACAGGACACCAACTTAGGAAGGTGTGGATCTGCTCCCAGGAGAACGACTTCTTGACTTAGAATATGCTGACGATATTGCCCTAATCTGTGACAGCTCCAATAAGTGCCAAGCGGTAATGGACAGATTAGCACTGGTTGTCAGCCGCTTCGGGCTTTGCTTTGCACCATCGAAGTGAAAAACGTTCCTCCAAGATTGGCCCTGGACCGCCTCCTGCGCTGACCCTTGGTGGGGATCACCTAGAAGTCGTTCGGAAATTCAACTACCTGGGAAGTTGTATCAGCGCTCTTGGGATCGAAGACGAGATCACGAACCGTATAGCAAAAGCTCGGAGTGCTTTTGCTAACCTTCGCCACCTATGGCGGCGGCGCGACATCCCTCTCGCCCTGAAGGGTAAAGTGTACAATGCAGCGGTACGTTCAACCTTATTGTACGGTTGTGAAACCTGGCCCCTTAGATCAACGGACATAAAGAGGCTATTTACGTTCGACCAAGGGTGTCTTCGCAGTTTGGTTCACATCTGGTGGAAACACCAAGTGAACAATGAGCGTCTTCGACGCCTCGTTTATGGCACAGGAAGAGAAACAGAACCACCCAGCACCGTTATTTCACGCATCAGGCTCAGATGGCTCGGCCACGTGTTGCGCATGCCAGCCCACTGACTCCCGCGACGTGCGTTGTTTGCTCGCGGGGGGTGTGGACGGAAGAAGAGGAGGGGTGGCCAAGCGATGACTTGGTCGAGAGCGATGAAGGCCCTCACTTCGAGGCTGGCCTCAGTTGGAGCTTCTCGGCTCCCTGGTTGGGGTCCGAAAAAACGATGAACACGTTTGGCTGGATACACTTATTGACATGACTAGGAGCCGACCTCAGTGACGTTCCTGCTGTAAGTTTCTTTGTCCCACCCCATCCCTCTTAGCCTCTCTTTTCAACCACCATCCGATTATGTAGCATTTCATACTATTGTATAGTGAATTATTATTTTTACTTTTGCATATTAGCCGGCTGGTAGCTTACCAGAACGATGCCCATCCGTTACCGGTAGCTCAGCTGGTTTGCACCTGTTGCATTTTATTCCCTTTTTTAGGTATTGCTACACAGTAGCTGAGGTGTTTTCCACATCTAGCCAACTTGTTTAGTATGTGTGTATCCATTCCGTAATAGGTGCCGAATGAGCTCAGGGACCCCATGAAACTGGTATTTCTGCAGTCAGTTTAGGACTCCACTAGCCAATAACCTGTTCATTTTCTCTTCGGGCGGCCATCTTTTTCGCTTCATCGGCGCACAGTATGGGTATTTGGGATAAGTGTGATGATTTAAACACAAACACCTTGAGCAGGCCGAATCTTAGCTGGTACCTGTCATGCTGTTGTCCTTTTTGTGTTCCACCACGGCGCCGTTTGTAGGGGGAATATCGCACCTTCAGAGCTGTGTTTTGCAGGTCGTGGAGGACAAGTTGCGCTCTGCATCCTGATTATTTTAATACATGCTTCAAACTTTTACTTTGCATCTCTCAGGGGGAATCTGATCAAATTTCGGAAAGAAACTCCAAAGCCGACCTCCAGTGAGCTCAGCCTTTGTTCTTCTCCAAGTAATGGGCCAGATGAAGACGGTCGCTCCTCAGAGGTTGCAATGTGCAAAGGCCAACCACACGCGGTTGCACTTTACGACTTTGACACCAATATAGACGGTGATTTACAATTTAAGGTAAAGAAACGGTCGACTTTCTATAAATATGCATCCTTTTGGTGGAATATACGCATGTTGTTATCAGTGTATCTGTATATCTGGATTTTTGTTCTACATAGCTAATCTTGACGACCACTGCACACTAACCACTTTCTAACTGGATGTAGCTCACCTAGTATCTTAAACCACAACGTAGCGCCTAGCGGTGCTGAGAGCAGTCAGCTACTACCGGATGCTCCAACGGATGCTCCGACGACAATGATATGTTTAAGTACTTACGCTCAACGTAACTCCTGCCTCATAACTGAATGCATAGATAAAAGTAAGCGAATAAATGACCCGACTAACAGTAATGTTAACTATTTCACATGTTGATATCCCATTTTTTTACTGGTCCCGTAAATCACACGGAAACAGATTTTACTGTCCTCAACTAATGTATTCGTCCTGTCAACCAAATTTTCTATTACAGGCGGGCGATATTATACTACTGCAAGAAGTGATTGACCACTCCTGGTACAGAGGCCGATCTCTCGCAACCGGGCAAGTGGGTATTTTTCCGTTAAACCACGTGAATATCCGAATTGACTTGGACACCGGTTCCTCGACAAAGCTTCATACGAAACCAATGGTGGTCAGAGTGGATGAGAATGGCGCGACAAAGAGCTTGACAACGGATGCATACGAATCCGCTCTAACACCTGTCAGGGTGAGCTGAATAATTTTAGTCGATACATGATGCTATCACTCTGGCGGCCAAAGAGCTGTATTCATGAAGCGTTGCTGTGAACATTGCGACAATTTTACGTGTCATAATTTTCAATGGTAACTTCTGCGGTGTCCTTTACCAACACAAGGACACGATCAGGAAACCCGATTTAGCCACAACATTTCCTAGACTGTACCACATTGTGTTATTAATCTAAAAAGAACAACTGATCCTAAAACAGTTAGGTAATAGACTCGTGGCAGGTAACAACGTAAGTTCTGGCACCCCACGCTCTAACCGGACGCTTGAAGAGTCCCGGAGGTATACCGACACAGCTGTTGCTGTAGAAGCTGCTTATGGCGTCCCGTCATAAGACTCATAACCATTTTCTGCCTACTTCACATAGATATGTTTTAGCTTCATGGTACATTTCGGGTGAAAAGTACTCGAATTCCTTCCACCTCACAAGCTAGCGGATACCCAGCCTACAGTCTAGTGACCGGTTACCTCAAGAGCTTCGTGCGTCAGTTGCCACAATGGGCACATGCAGACAGTTAGTCCCCTGGGGTCAACAAACTTTAGTGCTTTAAGGAGTCAGGTTTACGCAATTTGTCATTATCCGGATTTAGGCATTGCGGTTCCTGGTAGCTGGTAGCACCTAACCACGAACTATGCCAGGCCCCCAGGCAGACTGGGAGAACACCCGCAGTGATCACGCGTGCTCAAAAGAAAGGGGAGTGGAGAGTGGATGGCAATCGAATTCGACCGCATAACCTGGACCTGGCATTTTTACCTGGAGCCCGGTTGCCGCAGCTAGTTCAAACAGGTTGCTCTTACGGAGTGCGTGCAGGCTCTTCGACCCCTCAAATGCTCAATGCGTATGTGACGCCCCGTGTGGAGTACCCCCTTCAGGCCTGGAAGCCTTGGTTAAAACGCGATCTGGCTGGACTCGAGACCGCACAGCAAAGGGCAACCAAAAGTGTCTAGGGCTCGTCCCATCTGCTATACCAACTGCGACTGAAAACCCTAGAAGTGTGCAGCGGCAGTTATCTTCGTCTGCGGGGTGACCTCATACTGACGCATCAGGTATTGAAAAATCCCGGTCACATCTGCCACTAGCTGAAATTTAGCCACAACACAGAACTGAGGGTCCACTAGCTGAAATTGGACACGCAATACGGCCAACTGGAATGTCGCAGGAAAATTTTCCCCTTCGAATTCGTTAGCCGTTGAACGTCATCCGTCATATGTCATTTCTATGCCAAAGTTACCTATTAGAAAAAATGAGTCGACGGTGCATTACAATCTTTGCATCAAGTGACATTACTCAGCTCATCGAGTGTCGACGAGACGCGAATAAATATTGTGCTCACCAACCCCCCCTCCACGAAATCGGGGGTAGAGAGCTATACATGATTGTTAAGGTAGATAGTATGGTGGGATCACAGATGCGCGGCTTTACTTTGTTGGCAAATTTGTTTTTTTTGAACTTATATGTTTCACACGGACCATCCTACGGGATCTGTCAAGCCGTAGCTTCATACCCGTGGTATACCATTGTTCATTGTTGCAGCTCCTTAACGTGAATCCCATCCGCCACGAGGAATTTTGCGTCGAATTTGCTTGAAATCACAGTGATCTCACGCTTTGCTTGGCAAGTACACTGTATTCCCTCATGTCTTATGTAACTATTCTTTGGGATAAAATCGGAAGCCTTCCGAAAGTCAGAAGCTGAAGCTGATGCGCGCTGAAACTGACGGTTCATTTGTGAGTAAATAACGGTTTAATGCAGCACCCAACGATAAATTTTTGCGTCCCAGATGCACACAGATAACACGGCGATTGTGGGTCTAGAGATGCATTGAAGTGACCTCACCGTGTATTCCGTCCAGCTCAGCTTATTTGGTCTGCTATGATCCGCACGCCGACATGCGGCGGATTCAGTTGCCGTGAATCACACCGCAGCAAAGGTAATAAACAAGAACAACGGAGGAGAAGTGAAAAGAATAAAACAACCGTTCGGCGCTTTTCTGGATGTGTGCTTTACATTTAACTGAGCCTTTTTGCACTGAATTCAAATTACATCGTCCAAATCTCTATACTACTACTCCGTTACCCTGCAAGATCTGACCAAAACGCGATAGTTGCATGTCTGTGATTGATAAGTATGCACGAAATGTCTGAGTCATCTCACGACTTACGTCCTATGCTTTTCTTGTTTGGTATCACCAGAAAAACCATCGTCCAGTGAAGACGGCTGCAGTAAGATGATGCAGCATGCAAATGCCTGGTATTAACAGGTCAACAGCAGTATAAGTGCGGACATTCATCGTTTTGATGGATGGCTTTCCTGCACTGCTAGGGGTTTTGTATGTTGTCTAGGGGCGTCTTCCATTGTTGAAGGTTGCGTCCTGTGGCGGCCGTGCGAAACCAGTCTAACCGGCCATCGTATCAGTGGAGCAGGCCGACTTGCAGTTCTCGGTTTTGAACCAAGATATCGTAAGAACTTCATTTTCCACCCAATCTTAACCAATACACACTCCAAGACTTATGTATGTATTCATCGGATCCTATACTGATTCCTCTCAACTTCACTGACTTGTACTGGTTAGCCTGCCGTGACACCATTCCGAAGGACAACAAGACAAATAACAAAGCTGCCCATGAGTATCGCAAGCAAATCTATCATTTAAGCTATTGCCGTTATTTTAAAATATATCTATACCATTTCCCAACCAATTTAATTCAAAACGCTTTCAAACTCCTCCTTAGAGAAGTTATATCCCTCCATATATCTCATGACATTCCTTGACGATATCAGATTGTTTCCAACTGGCGCAAGCGCTTTTAAAATACGCATACTGTAAGTTGAGTGACCAATCCCACAGCAGCTGATAGTATAACAGCTAAGTAAACAGCGTGAGATGCTTTGGGATTGTTCACTCAGTGAACAGTAGCATTTAGGGGGCGGTCATGCCTTTTGAATACAATTTGATAGTGTTAAGGGGCACCTTGAGAGCGCTGTGGAGAAACATACTTTTCCTAAGAAGGAATTTGAAAGTATCCTATATTACTGTGTATAAGTCGAGGAATTCTGGACAATGTTCCACGTCCGTAGTCAGGGGGGGGGGGTCGACTTATACAAAGGTTATACGCAATTTGAAAAAAATCACATGCAAAATCCAACCAGAAATTCACTGCACACCTTTGACCCTATCTTGTCTTAGCACCACTCGCTAGTGACAGACGGTATCCCAGGCGGGGATTTGAAGTGCCTCTAGGTAGACACCTTATATTTGTGTCGAAAATTCTTGCTATATTGCTCATTTGGCTTTCGCGACCGATGGCAGTAACAGGAACCTACTGCTTATACGAACTCGAACACCATCACACAGTAACATTGGAAAAAGACGTGACAGAACGGCACGTGCCGGTAGATTATATAGACTCACATATCCAAGCGCTGCACAATGGTATTAAAATTACTCGACTCCTTCGAAACTAGAATCCGAGTCAGAATCTCCAGACCGTTTCTGGTACTGGTCGTCCATCATGGGGACGTCAGGATGAATATCGTCATCTTCAACTTCACTGCTCTCGTCATTCTCGTATTCCTCGAAAATGGCATCGTCCTCACTTCACTTCATAGCATTGCTGATGCAACAGTTTTTGAATGACCGTACGATAATTTCTGTTGGAATATCCAGCCACGCTTCTTTCACGCACTCTGCAATCTCAACAATGTCAACCTTTTTCACAATGCCACTCTTCGTCAACGCTAAATCAGACGATGCCATCCACTCAATCCACCTGGCCCGAAAGCTATCTTTAAAGGGCTTATTGAGCCAGACATCCAGTGGCTGCAAAATTGATGTAAGTCCACCGGGAATGAAAGCCACGGACGACTTCAGTTCACAGCATCGTTTCTCCACGTTCTCAGTTCGGTGTGCCCTAAAGGAATCCCAAACCAGCACAGATGGTTTCTTTAAAAGGGCACCGCTTCGCTGTACCCAAACTGTATTCATCCAGTCTATAATGTCACTGTCGTCTATCCGTCCTTCCAGGTGAAGCAGCACGAACACGCCGCTTGGGGAGCTTCTCTCCTTTGGGCAGTTTTACGCTTAAAAATATTGAAAGGTGATGGACGAGAACCATTCGCCATACATCTTAAAACAACTGTGAAGCCTATCTTCTCGTGGTTCGTCGTTTTTACTAAAACTGTGTTAACGCCTTTCTGCTCCACTGTGCGATTTGAAGGCATATCAAAGCACACGGGCGTCTCGCTCATTTTCCCATTTGGGACGGTACAAAATCGTATTCTTTTATCAGCTGAATCACGTACGTTTGAAAAGCTTCAACTTTGATGTCCAATTCCTTCGGTACTTTCGGGGTTAGTTTTGTGCGGGTCCGTAGACACATGTGGAATCGGTTCATAAACCGATTGCACCATCCGGAGGGAGCAACAAAATTCACCGGTTTTGGTGGCTGGAATTCCGGACTTTTAACAATGTGAGCGCCCTGATCCGAATGTTCGTTCGGGTAACAGTTAACCCGTTGTACCGTGACTCCATTACCCACTGCGCTACATTTTCCTCCAGTGCAGTAAACATGGTTGTTCTACCGAGTGCTGCTTTCTTGCCTATAGGCATTAGTGTCAACTCTGACTTTTCCTTTCGCCATTTTCTCACTTGCTTTTTATTCACCATGAAATGGCGTGCAGCCATACAATTATTAGATTGCTCGGCAAACGCGATAATTTTCAATTTAAAGCCAGCAGCACATGTCCAAATACTCTTCACATTTCCACGAGTTTGGAAGATTGCACGAAATGTGGGCACATTCCCTCTCAGCGGGATCGTGTGACGTCGCGCTATTTTGGTTAACGAATCAGTGCTTATACATTATGCTATGCTAGTCAATCTGGTGCATTAAAACTCCAAAGTCATCCCGCACCATTGATCGCGAACTGCCCTCCCACAATGTCGTACAATGTCGTTCCACATCACTGATCGTAAACTTTCCTCTCACCCAGCTGTTCCACTGCGCTTCGGATGCATGAGGCCCCCGATTATGCGAGACAGTGTCTGACATATTCTTTCATCTTACCCCATATTGTCGGCTGTCTGACCTGTTTCGTGTAACTTGACATGTAATCAATACATTGTCCAGTGCGGTTGAAATTTTGTCTGACGGCTCTATGCCCCATTAACTGCGATCATAACACATTAGGGCTCCGAAAGTGACCAATAGTAGAGCAGCTTTCGCTTGAGCACACTCAGCTGAGAGCAGGTAGTGATGAGGTTAAAATCGTGAGAAACAATTTCCTTTCTCTTTTTGCTGATTTTTTTAGGGGTCGGCTAATATGCGGACTAACGGATTTGAACAAATTTGAAGTTGCAAAGTCACACTGTCGACTTATATACGGATCGGCTTATACACGGTAATATACGGTACTATGGATGCAATTGAATGAGAATAGCTGTTAAGGTGAATACAAATTTCTTATGTTGAATAAACGATTGAAGTTTTTTATTGTTATTTACCTGGATGCCATACACTGTGACATTCGATTTTGGTTACTGATGATGAATCGCACACGACGAATTGCGACAACAATGAGCGCTGTTCAGTCTGCAACTTTCGTCGCGCCCACCCACTGGTTGATTTGTGCCCCACTATGCTTGCGGTGGCTCTCATTCAGTTTTATCTTGTTCAACCTTGTAGAAATTCCCCTGCGGTTCTCCACTGAGACCTCCAGCTCCTCCAGTCAAGCCGGATATGTCTTCTCTGCATCGTTTCAAAGCCGATCAAATCCACTCTGCTGGCTCTTCCACGCCACCGGTAATCTTGGGTTTACGCCCGAGATCGCAAACTACTGTGTCCCAGTTAGCACATACGCTGGAACAGCGTGGAGTCGCCATCAATCGTGGGGGTCACCTACCTATTGGTGCCAAAGCCTTGTTCCCATCCTCCAGCAAACAATACAGTTCAACTGGGGATACTGTCAAATCGCCCCCATGGCGATCGGATGGAGAAACACGCAATAGATCATATTTACATCCAACGCCACAGATGGTAAAAGTGAGTTTGATAACTCTGTGGTTGACAAGTTGGACAACTGCAATTCTACTTGCCAAATGTGTGCTTTCTAAACTACTCACCTAGATAGGTACTGCCGTTGAACGTGTGGTCCAAGTACTTGCATGGGTTAACACTAGTTTTATTTCCATACTGGGATGTGCAATAGTTATACATAAGTCTACCGAGTTTAGGTTTCCACACGATTTACTTGGTGGAAGGATACTGACAAACATTTTCCAGAGGGAACGTAAGATACCCTGATCACTCACCACCTTCGTGGCTCACAAGCGTACGCCAGTTGCGCCGAGGGTGCCAGCGGTTGGGAATTTGGCTGCACTGCTTCCGGACCACGGGGCGCGGTGAACAAGGCGGAGTTAGTGTTCTTCTAGTAAATATAACGAAAACGAGAGTCGTGATCAGTTCTGAAGTCCCGTGCAACTCCGCAAGCGAACATTCTTGTGTGGCCATAACCGTGCGTAGTATATAACATGCACACAAACACACACATATCAGTGTCGCTGTAGAGCTACAACTCATTGTTGACAATCTAGCGAGGTTATTTCTCCGTGCTTACTCATAGTCCCTCGTTCGAAGTGAACTTATTGCCATATTTCCGACAGTTACAAACGAAGAGAATTTCGGTTAACGCGCAATGGAAACTGTTCATAACTCACGTTCCCAACACTGTACTCCACGACCAGCTTCGTCTTTCCTTCCCAGCCCCTCAAACGTAGTCAGACTGCCAGACCTATGATTTCTCGGTAACCGGATGATAGTTGACTCCTGTTCAACCTCGATCGAGTGTTATATGCTCGATTTGTAGATTTAAAGTGGCAGATCCGATGGTGTTAACAAACTTCTGTAACAGTCTTCCATGACACTACCCCCGTAAATAGGCCAGCCTGAGCGGCCAGACTGAGCCGCCAGCTGGATTGGAATGAGTAGAACGATCTGCGTGGAACCATTTTAGTCTGGAAAGTCGCCACGATACACTCAAACCAGTAGGATGCATTCCAACTAAACAGATGAATATAAATATACCTGATGGGATTAAGGCCTTTTAACCGATCGTCATCGCAGTTGGACCCAGTTCGTAGCCCTAGCACACGCACAAACCCATACGACTACCCACATGGTTAGCGGCATCCGATTCCGAATTTACCTGTCACTGAGGCCTCCACGGCGACAGCCACAGGACGCCTGCGCCTACAGAGGGATCATGGGTGGCTTGCACTGCACCACCCACAGCTCCATCCACATACCCCATATCCAGTGTAAACCCGAAAGAATAAGACTGGGAGGCATGTGGATGGGAGCCACGTTTCATCAATGGAGCCGGCCCACACTCCTTCAACATGCACAGCAGCAGCATTCCTGTCTATCTAAATTGGGAATCATGCGTACCAGATGTACACAAGGCGGTGGCTGGGCCGTAGTCCGCTCCACACTGGATGGAACCACTCTTTGAGCCTAGCACGACCACGAGAACCATGCACCCAGTCCCCCACGAAATATTGGCACTATCATGGAGCCACTAATCGAGATGGAGGGTGTTAGACAGGTAGGCACCTTGTCAACATTCGCATAAAGCGCAGTCACACCAGAGATATTGATCATACACCAACACTTAGAATACAAAACCTTAACACGCAGACACACGTACAGTGCAACTGCAGCGATTCTGGCACACGGACCCCGTCGAATACCTTGACTCGGGTTAGTAAATGCAATGGAATCGAAGCAGCGTCCCTACCAAGCGCTGTGCTGATGAGGATCAAACATTCAATTTACACATCTTGTCTTAGACATAGGCCCAACCTGGCCACGCTGATTGCTTACGAGGCCGGCTTGGCTGAGGCACTCGCAACTGATTGTACTACAACACCATGCGCTTGACATCGTCAGGGAATACTCCATCGGCGCCTGTCGCTACCCCAACCGACGTTTCTCTTCCGAATACAATATTGCTTTCCCCTGCAACTGAGCAACCGCTCTTTTGATAAACATACGTCATCGCGCGCATTAGCTGCGTTCGATCCTAACACTTGAGACGGACATTAGCTCATGAGAAAATCACCTGTTCATGTATTGGTAACGTAACATCGCTTTTCCTATGTGCAGCTTCTCTGTACTAAACTGTCCCTATATCGACCGGTTGGGTATCCGCGTCGAATTCATGCGGCGGATACGACCGATCCACCTAAGCGGCCGCATCAGAAGTATGCGGTCCACTGGATAAATGCCAATCCGGCGCAGAACTTCCGCGTCAGCAATTCAGTCAGCCCAACCAATGCGCATAATGTAAAGCGAGCACTGTTGATGAACCGCTTCATATAGCGGAAGTCCTTCAGATAAGCGTCCAGATTTCACTGCCTTACAAGTTTAGTCTGACGGAAGAAGAACGATGAGCGTTCATTTACCTACCGTGGCTAGCTTATGGTGAACGCCGGTCATTTACGATTGTTGTTCCCAACATCCAATAGCCATCCAATGTTTAGCGAAAGTCGCAACATGCTATTGCGCGTGCAGAGACATGAATTTCTCCCTCACCTTAGTGGTGAGGACGTATGGAATTATCGGTAGACGATTGATTTAGTGCGGGGCTCAGCTGAGAAAAACGTACCCTCTAAAGACGCGCCTACATGAGGCTGTTTTGCTCATTGAGCGAGATGAGTACAGACAGCCACAACGTGTTTCCGGCGCTCGTTAGCTGTCAAGCCAACTTCGCGCTGAGTGCTGAAGGTCATGGCCAACCGTGGGCGTTGGAGCGATCGAGGGCTAGCTGTGTGTGTCTCGCTGACTACGCAGCGAAGTCGGTCTAAGCAACCAAAACTGCGGCGTGAATGTACGCACGTGATGGCAGCTCAGCTGAGGACGAGGTTAGGCATTGCAACTCTTGTCAACGTTATTGAATCACAGGTAATGGAGCACGAGCAGACAATGCAGCCGGGATCACGTAACGTGCCGGTTACTCAGCGCGCAGTGATTATTCGGCTGTACGGGGAATGCGGTTTAAACGCCGCATCAGCTTCAAGAAAATACAATGCAATGAACGAAGGAATGCGTCCCGTCACCGCCCGGTAGTGCTTAAACTAGTGAAGAAGTTCGAACAAACTGGGTGTGTGTGACATGAAGAGAACCGGACCGCCTCGCATCACCACGGACGACTGTTCAGTTTGCGCTGTAGTCAGTGAAGTGTCAAAAAGTCCCGATCTCAGCATTCGTCGGATCGCACAGCACTGTGACACGACCCGATATGCGGTACACCGGATATTACAGGAACGAACGTTTGGAAGATTCCGTGCACTTCAAGTGCAGGTTTTGAACCCATGCGATCCGGAGAAGCGGCATGAATTTTGCCGCTAATATCTGGATCACGGGGATATTCGTTCTGTTATCTTTACAGATGAGGCATTGTTTCATCTGCATGGAACAATGAAACATTACTGTTGGGCTACCAGCAACCCACGAAAATTTACCGCATCACCTATGCACCACAGTGTGAAACTGATGGTTTGGGCCGGATTAACATGCCAGAAAATCTTGGGCCCATATTTCTTTTCCGGGAATGTGACCGGTAGGTTGTTGTTTTGAAGTACTAAAGCCTTATCTTTTCCTAGCATCGTCGTACTTGGAAATGCTGCAGAGATTTGTGCTTCCCCAGTTGGAGGCCGAAGGGGCATGCAGTACCATTTGGTGGCAGCAGGATGGTGCACCTGCACATTCTGCTAAAACGGTGCGTGCTTACCTCACCGACAGATTTGGCCACCATTAGATCGGACGCGGTGGACCAATGGAGTGGCCTGCTCGCTCACCAGATTTAAACCTCATGGACTTTTCTCTATGACGCTATCTGAAGCGGCGAGTGTACAAAACAAGGCCGCGTACATTGAACTAATTGAAAGAAAATATTGTGAACGAATGTCGCGCGACCACGAGGGATACATTGGAGAAAGTGCTCGCCAATTGCATCAAGCGGTTTCTGCACTGCAAGCAGAACGCCGGCGGACATTTTGAACATATCCTTCACTAGCATAGATGATCGTTCTAATACATTTCTGTTAATATACTTATCCTTTTTCACAAATGTGTTAACGACTAAACTGGTCCGCTGACATATGGTGCTAATGATGCGTCCGGTCGGATAGAATTCTTAACGTCCAGGCTGTCGTTGAGCACATAAACAGCGTAGGCACCGAAACGTTCGATGGCTACTTATGGCGGAATCACTGAGTCGCTATGAGCTGAGGTTCGTCCAGCCTTAATGAAAAGCCGACTGTGTTGTTGACAGTTTCCGGCTATTGCCTGTGAAGTTGGTGTTCGGGATGAGTTGCAGTAGGTGGCAACATGTGTACGTGGGGTCGTTCCGTATCTGGTAGACTAATATGAGGTCTCCACGTAGCCACCTGTAGCGTCTACTGAACACTCCGAGTGCTTTTAGTCGCTGCTGTTGCGAAAGGTTGCACAATCTCTTGACATATTTTGTTGCTCGATCATGGTGAGTTTCGAGCGCTGCAAGGTCACGGTTTAGCCAAGCGTGCCAAGCCTGGATTGCGTATTCGACGTGTTAACGCACGTAGGCATGGAGCATCATAGAGAAGATGAATGAATCAAAACTTCGAATGTCATCCGCAAGCTAACAACGTGCTGGTTACCACTTTTGAAACAGATTCCGACTGTCTGGAATAAGCGAAGTCGTCCTGCACCAGCACACCGAGGTCAAGTTCCTGAGGGCTTGTCTGCAGGTCATATGCCCCAATTTTCTAGAGATAGGCGTGTCTTTGGCTTATGTCGACAATGTGTCACTTGACCACATTTAATGGCAGTGAATTCCTCACCGGTCAATGCCAGGTCCCATCTAGGTCGCACATGGAGGATCTTGTGGTCGTCCATTCTCTTGATCGCCGGCCAACTGTTAACGTCATCCGGAAAAGTAAAATTTTTGAGGTGATGGCTCTCGCAAGATTGTCGCACTCCACTCGATTAGGGTCGGGCAGAGA